GTAAATGGGAAGATTTTTTGTGTCTTAGAAGAGTCTGCGCTATTCCATGATTCCTGCTGAGCCAAGGGATCTGGCAGCTAAGTGCTGTCAGATCTGGTTGAGGTTTAATCCCTTTGCTGTGTGCTTTGGCAACATTTTTGTTGCCATAATAAAGTCTGCAGAACAGAAGGTACATGCCTTGGATAACAGTCCAGATAAGCATTAAGTTAGTGTGGCCATGGATAGATGCAATCTCTCACCTGAAAAGAGGGAGAGCAGTGAAAGATCATTCTTTTGCTCTGGCTTACTATAAGCCCAGAAAACACGTCAACCATTTCAGGTTTTAAACGTATTAACTTAAAATACTGAATGAAGTGTTTTGTGTTGAGTGCTGACTCACCAGGCTGTGAGTAAGAGTGGCTGAAATATGGACATGCATCGTGCTCTTCAGGTGTGCTATGGGTGTAAACAACCCACAAAACAAAGATGTTAAACATCTGAGGGAGTAACAGATGCTCTCTCCCTGTGAATGTGATTCATAATTTAAGATACTCATTCCATACAGTGGCCAAAATCTGGCAGAGTATTAAGAGAAAAATTTAATCTTGGGTTGTCAATACAACTTGAAGTATCACTGGCATTTTACTGTTGTAGTTTGCCAAATTGTACTACGGCAGTTTCCCTTCCCCATTGAAACACTACCTTTTTGTACTACCTCTGTGTTTACATGCTTTTCTGTCTGCCCACCCATCAGCTTAAGGTGTCTGGACTACCAGAAAAAGAAAAGTCTGCCATTAGAGGTTTACAAAACAAAAGTAGACATTGCTGTCACTGAATTTATTTTACAGTGGCTTAACCTATTTCATCTTCATAATTTCCTATGAGTCACTTCAGAGCATAATGGCAAACTTCAGCACAGCATGACTCTTCATTTGTGTGAGTGATACCAGTATGATCTTCAAACAGAGTGTATTTACTTTGGGCTAAATGCTATTGTTATCACTTTTGACTAAATGGTGAGATGGTTTTCAGAGTCTTTCATAACACTTCAAAAAGGAGATACTGAAAATGGAATTTGCTATTTCTACAGTGTTACTCTGTTAATTTACATAATCAGTGTATTAAGTACTTTTTTTCCTGAAAATGAAAAGCATCAAATAACCATATTATATTCAGTTTTTCAGAATTACTCTCCTATTCCAGAGTACAAAATTCTTGTTTTATTTTCAACTTTGCTTTCAGGATCCCAGTGTCTCTGATGCTTATTTAGGACAGGGACACACACACCCTTTGTTTCAGCTATCCATTCCATAAACTGTTCAGTTGATTAATGATATAGAATGTCAATGAAAATGCCCAGCAGCATATGACATACCTTCTACAAACTACTGCCTTCCAACACAGTTTAACTTCATCTTCAGTAGCATCACAGCACAGCAGAAAACAATGGACTGAATAGAAGGACCTGCATTTCACTTCTAGCATACCAAAACTGACATCTGAACAATTTTGTATAATCACAGTGAAAATTAATTAAAAAAAAAAAAAAAAACCAGTCATTTTTTTTCCCCGGGCTACTGGAAGTCAACATAATTTCCACATTAAACAGGACTTCTGGCACCATTCCAAGAAAACAAAAAGTTAAAAGGAAGTAGATTCAGGTATGTATCCTGTCTCCACCACAGCAAGTCTGATTGCATTATAACTTGCTCAAATGCAATTTCCTAATAATACTAATAAATTACACTGGCTTCAACTTGATGTTATTGGACTAAGTACTGCAACATACTATTTAGTTTTTTGAAACATGAAGAAAGAATTGCAATTCATTTATCTTCAGTGAGTAATCTAGATATTTAGGTGCATTTATTTTTTGAAAAGTCCAGAAAAAATGGCCCCTTTATGCTATAGCTATGCTCAGAAAAAAGCCAGGTCCATTACCTGACCCTTTGGCCAATCTTTCCTGCCCTACAGAGTGTGTGGCTGCATCTGACAGAGCTGGTCCCTGAACCATATCCTGGCACTATGCACAGGTGAGACAGGGGGCCCAGGCTGGAGGTGGGCTGGGCATGCTGCTGGCTGTGCCATCTCTCTGCCAGAGGTGGTGATCAGATGGCTGTGGTTGAGTGTATGACCTGCTTCTGTCAGCTTTACAAACCAGCAGTGGCATACTATGCACTTCCTTTTTTTTTTTTTTTTTTTCCCAACTTGGAGTAAAATATACTCCTTTCCAAAAGCAACGTAAAAATATTATTTCAGAATTTTAATGCTTGTGCTATTTCATTTACATTTATCTATTTGTATTTATTTATTCAGACACAAAAATGCATTTTTATTGTTTAGAAACTTCTAATGTTCAATTTGCTGGATCTTTGAGCAACACAAACCACTAAAATAGGGCTTACTTTTGTTGAAGCATAAACAGAATTTAAATGGGAAAAAAAGTCCTTGCAAAGATGCCTAATAATACTCAGAGGAGAAATGCGTGTCAAACATCTGTTGAAGGTTAAGTGAAGGCTGCTCTAATTTTCGTTTTATCGTATTCAGGATAGTGAAGGAAAAGTAGTCTTTTTCTTATGAAATCCATCTACTTTTGTTTTGCAGCCAATAAATGTTTTTATACTGCCAAAACTATAAATGTTCAGCTTTTATCACAAGTCTACTGGTGGTCTGGCAGACCCCAGTTCCGAGCTACCCTGTCACCCCAGCAGAGGAGTAAGAGAATGAAACCCCCATTTTATTTCTGTGCACTAGCTCCCTCCATCTGGGTAAATAAGCTAAATAACCAGCTAATGCAGATGACATTTTGAATTATGTAATTTCTCATAACACATGCCAGAAATGCCGTTCAGCCCTGCTATACATGCAGGAATACTGTTCAAAGCCCTGGCTTCTGGTTCAAATCAGTGGTACAAATGGTGCTCAGCATGCAGTGGGATTACTGAGCCGTGCTGGGGGAGGAAGGAAGGCTCCATAACCATTATCCACTGCTATACCCTTCATAGATATCTGCCAGACAGAAAAGGCAATCACAGGGACAGGAGACAGATATACTGGGAGGAGATGTCTTGTGGTGAAAATCCAAGTTTAGGATCAGCACTTTGTATTTCTGTGCCACAAGAAATTTTCTATCTGCCTTTAGGATTGCTGAAATCTGTAGATTTTTGCAAGAAAGACTTACAAGAACCAGAATAATTGTCACATTTCTGTTGAAGTCCACTGGAAAAACCCATGAGTGTTAGGCTGGCAGATTCTAGGTGTTGCCTTACAGTTTAAGGAAAAACTGAGGACTTAAAAGATAGCTGTCATCAGGGGCAGCCTGGCTGCTCAGTTATTCTTAGTGCAGTGCTAGTGACAAATTTTCAACAGAACCCCTAATAATATTTTACAGTATTACAAAAAGCTTCCTCCTTTTCTGACTGGTTAGTGGTAGCTATGTAATGAAATCCTCTGGGGCCATGAACAAGCACGGCTGTCAAGCCCAGTACATGCATCAGCAGTGCACCTGTGCTTTAATCAATTAAATTCTGAGTGGTGTATTTGCAATACATGGAAAAATGACAGAAGACACAACATTTGGTAGTGGCCCACTAACAACCTCCTACCTTCATGATTTAACAAATCAGGAATACTTTCTTTCTTGAAATATATTCCTTGTTTGAATATGTATGTTTAGTTGTGTTTAATTGCTGTCTGAATCTGTTTATAAGCTGTAGTGGTCTAGGGCAGGCACCAAGACCTGTCACTCACTGGAAAATTTGTGCTGCTACTCAGATTCCCTTGTGGGAGGTCCAACCATAGCTGGAAACAAAGAACAGCATAGAATATATTTTATTTGGTCTAAGTACTTGGAAAGTTAGAACAGTGCCTAAAAAAATATTTCAGTTTGTGGCATGAATAAGATAAGACATCCCTTCCAAAACTGGAATGGCTGCAACCAAACTGTCTCTGGGAATGATCCCTGGCCTACAACAGTGCCCAGAAATCAGCCAGACAGTGGCTGGTCCAGTACAATATGAAACAATGAAGCTGGAAACTCTTCTCTTCAATCATAGTGAAAATTTGTGGCTTTCTTGCAGATTACAAGGCAAATAATTCCATTTAATTAAGCCATAAGGATTTTTGCCTATGGTTTTCGTTTTATTTTGCTTTATGAAAAGGTAAGTCACTATGGTAAACCATATGGTATTACCTACAGAACAAACATAACACTTGGTCCAAGATTTCACTCCTAATTTCTTTAGTTTATATCCTAAGAAAAAGATAAATTTGCTAAGCCATAAGAAACATCCAGTCAAATTAATAGAATCTGCAGATTTTAAATCAGGCTACCACTTTGAAACTCTCCTCACAAGAATATTTACAGTTTACAAATAAAATTATACATGGAAAAGATAAAAGGGAGAGGAAAATAAAGATCTATTGGAAAACATATATAGCTACATACTTCCCTGTAGTTTTAAGATTTGCTTTAGTTATTTAATTGGCCATATTGTAGGTAGTATGAATGGTAGTATGAATGAAAAATAACCCAGTAAACAAAATCCTCCACAATGTGTTTAAATGAGTAAGACACAGTATAGCTGATAGATAAAGCATTACACTGATAAAAAAGGTGTAAAATGCTCAATATATGGTATAATTCTATATTTAATATTATATCTAGAATAGAGTATATCTTCTATTTCAGAGAAAGCAATGGAATAACAAAAATTGTAATATAAACCAATCCTTCTAGAGAAAAAAACCCCAGAACTTTGAACTTTTGTCATACAATATGTACACATTTCCTTCAGTAAACATAACAAATTCAGAAGTAGAAGGTTTATTTAATAGATGGAAGAAGATGTCGGGTTTTCATCCAGTAACCACAAGAAACTGTAACTAAGTCAAAATGAAGACAAAAAATTACCTTTTAAACTACAGATTTTTTTTCCCATGGAAGCTGACCATTGCCCATAAGACATAAAGAAAAGTTATCCAAGCCATGACAACTTCCAGAAAGGTGTAGTGAAGCTTACTTTTGATGATCTCCCAGTGGTCTTTGCCCAATGGATTTTAATAATGACTCTGGTCGAACGGATAATTTTGGCGATGTCTTGGGGCTAGTATCAGAATCTCCACTTTCTTCATCTCCCATGGCCTTAATATAGCTCCCGCTTCTCATTCTTCTACATGGGATCTCTTCATCTTTCCCACCAGCTGGGTATCCTCCCCATTCATCCTGAGGTACCTAATAGAGACCATAAAACACACACACAGGATGTAGTTTATTCTTTTCATATGTTTAAATACTTCCTTCCATTATTCATTTTACAAAGACAAGTAATGAATTTTTTATTCTTCAGAAACAGATGGCTTATAAAGAGATTTCCGAGAACCCTAAATGATTTTGCCATTTGATTTCAACTTCAGAGTTGGAAATTTTCAGTTTATAAATTTTAGAACCCAAGGAACAATGAAGTCATGGATTGTGAGCTGAGCTGCAATATCTATTTGTAGACATGCTCTAAACTGCAGGAAGCAGCTTGAAGTTTGCACATAGATTTTCATCTCATAGCAGTAAGTTAATGGAATCTTAGACCTAAAACTCATTGAAAGCTGAGCACTTTGGGTTTTATTACCAGCAGTCCTTATAAGGAGCTTTCAAGGAGGCGAATGGTGTATTTCAGATAAACTAAGCCATGATCTTGGCATAAATAGATAGGATTAGGATTTAGGGCAAACTTCTGTGGAAAAAAAAAAAAAAAAGAAAAAAGTGGTAATTTGTCTTTTTTCTATTTAGAAGCTGCAAAATGGTTGATAGAGAGTGTAATATATCAGAAATTCAACCAGTTAAATAATACAAGTGGTTGCAGGATTGCAGTTGCCTTTATGCAGTTCAAGTGGATTTCCAAACAGTAAGATTGGTAGTCAGATAGTCCACAGCTGGTGGATAGAAATCTCTCTGCACCCCAAATTACCAAAGAATTGAGCAGGAGTAGATTCGTCAATCCAAAGTGAAATCAGTTTTGTTTCAATGCTTATGATTAAACACCGCCTGTCTCTGCCAGTATTGCTGAGTTCATCAGTGGACTAAGGCAGATGACCTTGGCAGCATCAAATCCTTTATCAACATTATGATTCCATCTATATTAAGCAGTTTAATGTCTTGATTTGCTAATATACTATAAGTGTGAAATCTCAATTAGACATACATTTAGTAGTTTCTACAAAGCAGGATGTCAAATAAAGATTTTTAAGTCAAATCTATTTGAAAGCTTCTACAGACAGAGTTCACTGTGGAGCTGAAGCAAATGCTCCCATTGGTTTCAGCAGTCTTGGAGACTGGGTTAAAAAATTAACATGACCTGATTGCCATCTACAGCCCTTTCAAGACAGATTAATTAGCCCCACACACCAGGTGAACAGAGCTGGGGCTTTGAGTCCTGAAAAGGGATTAAGGGAGAAATGAAGTTTTAAAAGGGGGTGAAAAAGTAAATATAGAGATATTAAATTTAAAAGCCCAAGCTTAAGAAAGAAAAAAAGAGAAAAAAGACTAAAGATGAAGTCAGATAAGAAGAGATGAAATAGATTGCACATATCAGAAAAATGTTAGAGGTAACTATCAGAGAAAAAAATATGTCATGTTCTTATACAAAGTAGTAGGACAGAGCATGAATCTAAGTGAAATATGGTAACATCATGCAAAGAAACAAACTTTTCACATTATTCAGCTTTGGATGGTGATTGGAAAGGAAGCATCGGAAATCTTCCCAAACTTGAAGGCTGTAAGTGTGATACATCATTCTCATTTCTTTTTTCAGACCTAATATATATAAAATTAATGTTGCAGGAATGTTTTCTATGAGACCTAAAAGATCATTTACATGTAGTCATAGTAGTCATAGCTAGTTGCTTAAAATACTAAATATATATACATTAAATTCAGCATTTAATTTTTTAATCTACAGCTGATAACTCTAACAGCTGTAAAAATCTGAATTAGAGAGCTATTTTATTACTTGATATCATACAAACATACTCTTATTTTAAAATATTCATTATCAAATGTATGTCAGCATGGCTCAAGCCAAAATCCAAATGTCAAAAAAGCAGTTACTGGCATCTACATAGGCCCACTACAGGGTGTGCTATTAAACTTTCAGTACTAAAGCTGAATTATCATGTCTTAATATTATTTTCTAAAAAAATCCCCTCATAACTTTTTCATAGAATGATTACTTAGGCTTGAAACTTCTTTCCTTCATTTTACTTCAAAGATAATTAAATAGAAAGTTTAAAAATACATTGATCAATAACCTTTTACTTACTCAAATGCAGAAAATTATTACTTTCTCAACTTTATTTTGCCTGAAATTCCATATTCAAATAATTAGATAAGGACTGGATTTAAATGAGTACAACACAGGCTTATTTGTTGATTGAAGTTGCAATCTTATTTTAAAAGATAGGAATAACTGATTCTGTACATCAAAGTATCTAAAAAATTAAACTTCTTCACTGTGATAAGGACAAACATTACAGTTAAGTGCATTACTGTTTCTGTTGATTGCATTTCTTTTGCTGTCTGTATTCATAAGTTATATGAATTCACATAACAGCTAAAGACCAAAGCTAAAAACCAAAGATGTCTTGCTTCATTTATGGTGTGATGTGCTCATGGCACACAAGGCAACAAGAATCCCTTTCTAATCAGACCAACTCATTGGCTATCACAGAAGCATGTATGGTTGTTACAACATTATTCACAATTAAAATATCTAGGTTTTTTTTTTTTTTTTTTTTTTTTGTCCTTAAGCCATTCAAAGGAGCACAATACAGTGAATGCAGTGAAAATGCTTCTGGAACCTGATGAGGAAGTTTGACCATGTGTTTTCTCAGAAGGTTTCATCTAGAGCTTTGGAGAACAGCTGGAGTATTTTTGCTATCTTCAAAATAATAATAAAAAAAAATAAAAAAAAAAAGAAAAAAGAAAAAAAGAAAGGGCCCTTGACATTGTTTTTCCTCATGGACTGAGAATAGAAGCAAAATTTGAGCCCCAGGTCAGCCTAGGTCTTCATTTACTTGAGCTGATAGGTTAAATGCTTGTAAAGATCTTTCCAAATCCAGGCTATCTCAAACCCCAACACAGCTTTAAAGAAAAGCAAAAGCATTATGTAAGTGCAGGAAAGATTTTTATTTTGAGATATTAACAAAAACATTTAACATCATATATGAGGGTGATTAAATATACATCTTCCAAAATATGGAAAGGGCTTTGCAACTTGCAGAAATTCTACCTTACAATAGTTACCAGCCCCTGAAATTCCCATCTGCAGGGCTTGCAGCTGCTAATTAGGAATAATTACCCTAATTATCTACTTACATACAGTGATGAATGCTGATATTTATAATGTCTAAAAAGGCCTTCCTTCTGTTCTAGATGTTAAGATGAATCCTTGTATATGTAGTTTCTATCCACAGAGGAGTTATACTGCATATTACCATATGAATTTCCTTTTGCAAGAGCAACTGGCTGACAAGGTCTGGCTGCTGATCTGGTTACAGCTATTACAGAGAATGATGAGTCTCCTTCATAAGTATCACTGTTCATAAGTATTCACTGTTGCTGTAAGGAGCACCAGATTCAGAAAATCTGACATCTTTCAATTGTCCATCTACTGATTCATTTTGACATCTTACATTAATCACCTAGGGTCAATGTTAATAAAGCACTTGATACCTAACATTTACTTCATGTTATGAAGTTGAACTAAGAGTGAATTCCAGAACCTTAGGAAGGATCCTAAATTCCCCATAAAGGCGTCCTTCAAAGTAACATAAAGAAGGTCTACCTAGTTAGCCATCAGAATGTAAAGCGTGAAGAAAAATCTCAAATAGTTCTCCTTTCTTGGACTTACTGTATCTGATTACAGGCAGCAGAAAGGCCTTCTGTTATTTCCCTGTCAGATCCTAAAATCACCTTCTGAAGAAGAAGAAGCAAGGTGGGGTTGGTTTTGGGGTTTTTGGTGTGGTTTGTGGTGGTTTTTTTTTTTTTTTTTTCCCCCATAGTACAGTAGCCTTATTTTTTTTTGGTTTTTTTTTGGTTTTTTTTTTTTTTTTTCCCCATAGTACAGTAGCCTTATTTTTTTCTTCTATGATGAAACAGCTGTGGAAGTGGAAGACTTTCTTGGTCACTTTCTAGTCAATAATGTTTGGAGAGCTCTCCTCTTTTTGTCACTCCCAGCCTTTTTATGAAGCCCTCAGAGATGGCCTGGGAGGGCTGGTTAGGAGAGAGGGACTCGATTGACATGAAAGGGTGCAATGCAGCTTTGTGATCAGGGATTTATCTGAAAAGAGGGAGCTGAGTTATAGCCCCTAGGCCAAGAACTCACATGAATTTTATGTAAAAGAGTGTTTGGATAAAACATGTAGAGACTCTTAACAAAGAAATAAGTAGCTTTGCTCAAAACTGATGTACATCCTGCTGCTCAGAATGCAATTCATGGAGCTCAGAAGATGGTGTTTGACCTTCTATAGGCTACTGAAGAAACCGAACTGTCACCTTCACAGTGGGTATTCTAGAAATTTTGTTACTATAAAAAACAAATTTCCTTGCTTCAGATAAAATGTTGCTATCCTTGTGACGTGTTGGAAGTTCATGTCTTAAAATACCTCTTACTACTATTTTTTTTTTGGCTAAATACCTAGAGTTATGGCTGGGCATTAACATGTTAATGGCCACAAAAGTTATGATTTCTGAATTTTATTCTAAATCTTATTTCTATCTCCCTTTTATAGAAACAATACATATTTGTGTGAGTAGAGTTCTAACTTTTCTTCTTTTTTTATTTTATATGTTTTATGCCGTGTTGTAATTTGATTAAAATGGACCAGGCTGCCCAGGTAAGCAGCTGAATCACCATCCCTGGATGTATTTAAAAGATGTGTAGATGCAGTGCTTAGAGACATGGTTTAGTAGTGCACTTGGAAGTGCTGAGTTAACAGTTGGACTCAATGGCCTTAAAGATAATTTCCAATCTAAATGATTCTATGTTTCTATTCTTCCTGTTGAGTGTACTGATTGTGCTCAGACCAGATCTGACAGAAGGATTTTGGACCCTTAAGTGGACTTCAGCTGTACATCTGTCCGCTGATTCTCAGGAAGAAAAAACCAGCATGTTGTCAGGGAAAACAGGGATGGATTTAACAAAACTACAGAACAAACTGGAAATCATGGGATTGCTGAGG